TATATCGCAACATTCGATAGCTTCTTGATATTGATTGAGACAGCTTAACTCAGCACCTAAAAATTATTGATTACTCAAAATAATGCCTTTGTTCGAATATGCATAGTCATTCATAGGATTCAATGAAAGTGCTTTATCATAGCATTCTATTGCTTCTCTATTTTGATTAAGGTTTCGTAATGCAGTACCTATAAATTAATAATTACTCAAACAATACCCTTATTGTTATACACCTTATCATTCTTAGGGTTCAAGGAAATAGCTATATCACAACATTCGATAGCTTCTTGGTATTGATTAAGACTGTTTAATGCAGCACCTAATAATTATTGATTACTCAAAATAATACCTTTGTTGTTAAATGCCATATCATTTTTATAATTTAAATAATAAGCTATTTCACAATTTTAAATTCCCTCTTAAATTCTATCTAATGCCAATAATGATTACCCTAAACATATTTACTTAATTTCACTACCTTTCCACCTAAATATTTCTTCATTTATATTTAACAAGGACAATGATTCGTCATATAATTTTAAAGCTTCTTCATGTTTATTTTAATTTGATAACTCCTTAACAATTTTAAAAATCTATTCAGCTGTTTTATAATTATTATTATTGTTTTTCTTAAATTTTAATGTTTATTCTATTTCCTTCAATAAAATTAAAAATTAATCTAAAGTTAATATAATAAAGGTTAACTTTATCGATTTTATTTCTCCTAAGAATAGAATTGTTTGATAATATTGATTGATGATTTGAATTGTAAGTATTCTTAGCGTTGTACTGATTAATTTAAATCAATTAAATTTTAAATATTATCATCCATTCTTTTTAATTCTAATTCTATTAACTTTTTAATTTAAAAAAAGATTCCATTTTGATTAATTTTTCATTTAAGCCTGAACTTCTATATATTAGTTTATTAATTCAGGTATTTGAAAATCTAATGCAATCAGCTTGATGATCTGAATGCACTTCAATTAAGCATTTATAACTGTATTAGCAAGGATGTTAACAGTTAGAATGTAGACAAAATCCAATTATACCCTCATTTTCATGATTTTCATTTATAGATTTCTATTTTAATATTTTAAATAATAAAAATGAGACAATGAAATATTTAGTTAAATATATAAAAATTAGGATATAATCATATTAAAAGTTTGTTATATATAGGTATGATGTTGAATATTAACTTTCGATATAAATAATAGAAAATAATTTATTAAAATAATTTACATATGATTAACAAAGTTTGATCTTGTATTAAATAAATATTCTTTTATAAGATATTGTTTATACATTTAAAAATATTTGAGATTATTTAACTAGAAATAATTTTTAAGCTTTTATTTATTCAATGAAGCTTTTTAAATTATTCTATTTTATACAAATCAGAAATTGATTTTGTTAAATTTGTTATTATTATCATCCAAGTTTTCTTAAATTCAAATTTCAATTTTAAAGTAAAGAACAACACAGTTAGATTGTTTTTAATTTAATTTATTAAAATATAATATCTCTACATATGTTTTTATTTAAATACCAAAAAAGTTATGTAACTGCTTTTAACATAAAGATTACTTCTGTATGCTTAGATTTAATTAAATAGTTATCATATAATTGAGAAATTCTAATTATAAAATTAGGATTATTCTATACAAAAATAATAAAATTTATTTTGATTATTCTATTTTAAAAGATACTTTTGATATTAGGTTATATAATAAAATTATTGATGTTTTTACTCACAATGTTTTATATGAAATACTAAGTTGTAAAGAGTTTATCCAAAAATGTCCAATTTCAATTAAGTCACTAAATGGTAAACCTACTTTTGAGACAAATGAAAATAAAATTAATCCTATATTTTTTTGCTTAGTTTAAACTTTTTACATAATTTTTCTCTTTTTATATTACAAATAATTATTAATATAACTCATTTTATAATTTAAATTTTTTATAAAATCACAAAACTCTGGCATTTTTAAAACTATATGAATTAGTATTTTGGCAATCTATGTAGTTAAATCTTTCAATCTACTGAATAGTATAGAGGTCTTTTGGTTGATTCTTGAGCTGCTAGAATATTTTTTTTCTACTTTTTTAGAGCTTACAGTTTAGTTTTTTATTTAGATTTATATTGTGTTATTTTTTGTTATGAGTTATGTATTACCTAGTTTATTGCTTTCTGTGTGTAATTCTCAAGAATCATATTGGCTAGATCTCGCTTTTTTGATAGTTTTAGATTATTTGCATCAGTTCCATGAAAAATTCTGATAAAACTATTTGTTTGTTAAGCCAATACTTGAATTGTATCTATCCTACTGTATCTACATCGATATCAAACAATAATATCATTCTTCTAACAACCAAGTTTAACGTTATTCATTTTTTACTTTCGAAAAATTTAGGAAATTATACAATTCTCGAGGTATATATTTTTCTCATTTAAAGTTTCTCTATCCTATATATTGGTTTATAACCATAACCTATAAATCTTTATATTTCTTTTTCACTAAATAGATTTCTCATTATATATAGCCATTATCAGTAGTTTACTTTTACTTTTATCTACCATCCATTTTGGTTATGATAAAATCAGATATTGGAAGTTAAATATGTTTATATTAACCAATTTAATTACTTATCAACATTAAGCCTACAATTTGGTTCAAATTTAAATTATGATATTTTTCTTGATTATTTTTATAATTGAAATCAGAATCTTTCATCTAATGTACTACTTGTGTTTATTCTCTATATTAATATTGTCAATAAATCAACTCAATAATTCACTCATATTCTTGTAAAATCAATTTATTAAAAACTATTAAGCTTAAAAATTATGATTATTTTCTCATTTTGGCAAACTTTAAGCTGAAATAAATAATAAATGCTAATACTAGGAGAATAATTCAACCCAATTCCCTTCTTTTAATGTAATATCATTATAATAACCATCCCCACTTAAAATTTGATCATAACTATACATCAGTTTAAATTCTTAATCAGATTAATTTCTATAGCTCGTTATCCATTTTTCTATTTTAATATCTTTTTCATACTGACTTAAAAATAAAATTTGATTATAACTAAATTTTTTAAGGAAATAATAAACTTCCCAAAAGTTATCACGAAATTCTACCTAATACCCTTGTTTTCTACCTTTTTAGTCATATAATCCTTCTCCTCTATGTAAAATTTATTTAGGTTTTTACATTATTAAAAATTATTTTTATACTGAATTCACTCTAAAATTTATCTTTCATTATTCGATTCTTTTGCTATTATAATATTATCTAACATAGATTATTTGTCATTAACTATAAATATATTAATTTCTTTAACTTAGAAAAATTAAAATAAGGTTCTTCTCAAAATCCTTATTTTCTTCATTCTAATCATAACCACCTCCACCTCTTAAAATTTAATGTAACACAACTTCTCTAATTCTTAATCATTTTCATGATAGAAAATTTCCCATTTATCCAATTTTTTTTCTAAGTAATTTTCTCCCTATAATTATGAGTTGCTTTATAAAAACTTAATTAAAAAATTACTCCTAAGAAGTTTCAGATAATTCGATCCATTTTTCTATTTCATTCCTTTGTAATTATATTTATTGTAGCCATCAATAATATTTGATATATATAGTAAACATCCTTTACAAAAAAGAACTCTGCCAAAATGCTATAATTTTCATTTTAATAATTAAAATTTTGTAAGCCATACCACATCCTCTATAATTGAAAAGAAAATTTTTCATACGTTGAGTCATCTGCATGATTTACTTTCCATTTTCCTAATTCCTTACCTTAAAGATAATTTCCATTATAAGTCACTTAACAGCAACTATCATAATAAATTTTGAAATTAAATCCAAACATTTTAGTTGAATACTCCATTTTAATTTTACTCACCTTTCCTCTAATATTTAATTTGTATCTTACATAACTGAAAAATTGCATATCTGAGGCTTCTCTAAATTCATATGACCAAATTCCCACTTTTTCCATTTTAATATCTCCTTGTTTATATGAGTTAGGAACAGTTGAAAAAATAATCCTTTTATTAACTCTAAGATTTTTCAGATAATTCTATCCATTTTCCATTCTTCATTCCATTATAATCAAATAGCTAGAATCTTTTCTAATTGATATTCTCCGATATTCTTTAGTTTATTAAGACTTTAAAATATTTATTAAGATACTTATTAAAATTTGAATCAATTTCAACCCATTTCCTTTATTTCTCAGATTTCTCATTATAATATCCATAATAATGTTAATATTTTTTACATTATTTGATTGAAATAAGCAATTTTCCAGTTTTAAACTTTTATTTCTTTATGATATATCCCATAAAAAATAATTTAAGCATTTCTACTATAAGAAATTATAATAATCCCAATATTATTCAAATAATTAATTCCATATTCCAATTTTAATCCCTTAAGTATATATTAACTTCCTGCTCTCTCTTCCAGAATGGTATCCAATCATCAATACAATTTTATTGAATTTAGAACTAGTTACAAATTTAGAAATTTTAATTATTAAATATTCTGAGTTTCTAGTTTTGTCATTAAATTTTCTACCCCTTATAAATGTCCTATTTATTTAAACACTTACATATTTTGATTAAAAAATAACGACATTTTTTGTTTTAGCTCTAGTATTCTTCACAATCAGATCTTAAAGTTTAATAATTTTCAATTAATGTATTATAAATTACTCCTCAACCTTCTTTAGCTTTTCTATGATCCTTTTAAATTGAATCTTGCTATTCATTCAATACTGAAAGATTTCTATTCCTAAAAATCATAAATTATTAAAACAAAAAATAAATTTATTAAGTTTGAGTGAATATTAAACAACAAGAAAACTTACTGAATAAATAGATAACAATATTTATTATAAATTAATTTATTTTTACATTAGAATCTAAATTTTTTGAATATTAAATATATTTTTTTAAACAACTTTATATATTAAATTTAAAGACTATAAAGTGACCATAATTGATAAGAGACTTTAATCCTTTAATAAAATTCTAGTAATTAATCCATATTTCATATCTATTGTCAAACTGATTATCAAATGGAAAATAAATATAAAAATAATTTTAATAAGTTCAAATCTGATTTATTTATTTTAATCTTTTTTGTTTATTATAATTATCAATAACAAATGGGTGCATGTAAAATTTGCTCATAAGGTATTGTAATTCACGTTTTTGATATTTAACTTTAGGATTCATCCTAACCAATTTCTTCCTAAGAAAATCTTAAATCTTAACAAGTTTCTGTTTCGAGTAGTTCACTTCCGTCTGAATTATAAGAAATTAAAAAATAGGAAACAAAAAATAATTTAAATAATCTAAATATAAAGTAAACTGTGAGTTTGTGGAGATCATCAAGTAATACAGAAAAATTATCAAATAATGATGATTTGCAAAAAAATCAGACTTGCTTATAGCAAATAGATGAAATAAGCAGAAGCTAACTTAGAAATGATACTCATTTTGATGAAAATAATGATAGATAATAATAATAGATTTAAGGTCTTTCTTCTTATTTTATGTTGGAAAGTCGTCAATCGAAAAGGTCAGAAAATCTTCCAACTATTGAAGGAACACCTTTACGTGATGATTTTGTTTACAGTAAGCCCAAGAAATACATTGAAGAACAATTAAAAACATTATGATTATTAAAATATTCAAGTTAAAAAATTTTTTCGGAATTATTCTATCTAGCAATTAGAAGATTCATTTATTCTTAAGCTAATTTTATTTTATATTATTAAGCTAGTAAATATTATACATCATCTCTGATCATAATTCGAGTATAATAATAATAGATCCATTTAATCATAAATTTATTATAATGGAACAACAAAAAGCTTTTTATTTTATTTTTCTTCCTCCTAAGTAAATATATTAATTTCATTAATTTTATTTAAATCTTTTCTATCTCTTATCCTTGCTCTATATTTATTTCATTATAATTATAATAAAAAAATTATAAAATCCCCTTTTTATTCTTTATTAATGAACTTATTCCAATTGCCAAATAGTAATCTTATGTAATTATTATAGGATATGTTATTAATATAGATTTTTTAGAAAATAATATATTTTCTGTAATATTAAGTTTCCTACAATTTGCTAATTCTATTAAAATAATAATGGTTTTTTAATTCTATTCTTAATTTACTTGAATAACAAATAAAGTAATTATGTCATTTGACACAGTAATTAATCAATATATTCAGAGTCTACTTAAGATTCAAAATATGAAAAATTATGTTCAAAAAACAATCATATTTTATTTTATATTTCTAATATTATGATTTTTAATCATTTCTTATTGACAAAAAAAGCAGTCATCCCTACATAAAATTAAAGTTATATAAATAAATTAATGTAGTCTTGATGGATTTAGTAGAATAGAAAAAAATGGTCTTGATTACAAGAATTCAAAAATAAATATTTTTCATTGCATTTTACTAATAATAACATTGTATTTTTAACAATCAAACTTCTTACACAATTACAGGAGATATAATATATATTCAATCATCTACTAACTAAATTTTAATATCATATTTCTATTAACATCGTTAATAAATAACAAAAGACTTATAATATATATTCTTACTGTGTAAAATTTTACACCTTAAATCTCACTATTCAAAAATTTTTTGTAGTAATCAAATTCTTTTTGATTGATATAAACTTATTTTTGAACAGGAAATTATATATTAATGAATTAACATGCTTTTTTGATCATTTTTTCTGTTTTGAATTATATAATTTTCATCCTCAATAAACAAAGCTAAGTCATATTTCACAAATGTGATTACTTGGAAATATTTGAAAAATAGTTTTCAAGATAAGCTTAAATAATATTTTTTTATAAATTAAATTTTACTCTCAAATATTTTTAAATCAAATTATTTTGAAAATATATCTTAAATGAAGAATTATAATAGTCGAGAAATTTAAATTGATTTAAATAGGTTTATACAACTTAATTATCATTAAAAACAACTTAATTTATTAATATTACGCTTTCATTATCTTGAATGTTTATATATAACAATCCTTCTTTACAAAACTTAACAATTGATATTAGTTAGCTGAAACTATGAAATCTAAGCCTATATTTAAGAATAATTTATATTAAGAAGGTTTGATACGGAATATTATTATAATTTATTTATTATTCTATTATGCAATATGCATTTGATAAATTAGTTTCAATTTTGATATATTTTAAAAAATAGGTGAGTAAATCTATATTTATTAATTCAAAACAAATTTATCTATAACAGTTATTTAATTTTAAACCTCCACATTTTTGACTTAAAAATCTATAATCCTTATATATGAGTCACTTTTATTTAAATTGAAAGTAATCATTGAATAAATAATAGTAGAGTTTTTGATTCTTGTATTTACAAATTATATGCTTTATGTCTATGATATAGTAATAAAAGATTCATAATTTAATGACATAATAACTATAATTTTTAAACTTATAAAATTTTCACATGCTATTTCAATTAAGCTTTTTTAAAATTATAATTATGTTAATAATTAAGTGTTTGTGAATTAATTTAGAATATCTGTTTTAACAATAAATTTTCTAGAAATTTTAAGTAACCTTATATTGTAATTTTGACTTCCAAATGATTAACCATAATTTACTATTCTGATTAATTTATTCAGCTTAAATTAGTGATCCTTTCAATGAGAATACATCACTTAAAATTAAATCTTATAATTTGATATTAATTTCTTATCATTAATTGTTGGCAAATTATCTTAATATTTCCTGTTAATACTATAATTGTAAACATTCTAATACTTATTCTATAAATATATCCTGATTATCTTCAAAACCCTCATACAAATAAGGTTGCAAAATTGAATAATTAAATAAGTTGTTTAAGTAAAAATAGAATTTTCATTTGTTAAATTTAATGTTTAGATGTACATAATACTATAC